GGGAAAGAACGCAATGAGTTGGTACTTTGCAAGTTCGTAGGGAGATTTCAAAGCAAAAAGGCTGACCTCTTTTGGTTATAAAAACAACAGACATGAGATAGTAGTCCAACTAGATTTCCACCTCCCAGAGACCAGGGAAATTACCCAGTGTCATTCAGTAGGTGTAGAAGACATATAGAAACAGAGGTTATCAGAATTTCACCATACCTGTGGGCTTATTCTTTCCCAGCACATCTAGATGTGCACATTATAAAAAATGAAATTCTTCAACATCCTTTGCCCAGAGTGAATGTATTGCTGAATCAAAGTGAGATCATTAGAGCCACCTACACCATGATAGATGTGAGGATTTTGGCCAATGCCCTGGGATGGATTGGGGATGTGCCCAGCACCCTCCCACTCAGTATGCATCTGGAAGCGCTCTCTTCCTTTCAGCCCAGAGAGAATCTGTGTCTAGGGAGGGGTGGGGAGTCTGTGTTGTCTGGGAAGCACAGGGATGCATATCAATCACTCTGTTTGGCGCGTAGCACAGACACACTGCCCCTTTATCCAATCACTGTGCAGGCCTTTCTTGGACCAGAAAGTAGAAATCTTTACAACATAGAAGCTGTTATTAGTTTTATTAAGAATTAACATTGCGAAGTACTGAACATTTACAGAGTCTTCTAGGTTATTTGTTTTTTGCAATACCAGGACCTATGTTTAGATGACTGATTTTGATACTGGTGTTTGGACCTTCCGGCCATATCCTTCTTACTGCCTAATCAACAGAGATGAGTGGAATTCTCTCCTGGATCTGTGATGACATGGGCCTAGGAATGCTTCAAGCTGGAAACTCTCTGGTATTTTACTGGTGTAACTTTTGATGCTGCCACCATCCAAAGCATCAGGTATCTTTCTCGATCCCACAGAGATCTCTTCATTTCTCTGCACATTTTCCCGCTATTCAGCTGGTAGTTTAATTTAGCCTTTTAATGTAGCAAGTTTAGATTTTAAGAGTACCCCCAGTATAGACAGGTCTGTTCATCTATTTTGTTGTTATTTATTTCAGTTTGCCTTAGCTTAACCTACTTTTCAGGCAACTGTATGTTATTAAACTATTTAACTTCTCAGTTCTGCCTTTGCATAAATTAACTTCACCAACCTATGGCTCTTGCTCATGGAGGAAGCAAGGTCCTTTTGACCATTGTGACCAAGTATCTTCCTTATAACCAGGGCAGGCTGAGTTTCTAGCAGCCTCTTGATATCCTTTTGATCTTTCATTTGTAGATGACAAACCATCAGACTTCCAGAGGGCTCTCTGAACTACTGCTTTCTCTCTATTATTTTCAGGGTTTTTATGGGTTACTCACCTTGACCAATCCCTCATTTTTTATGTTCTCCCTAGTTCCTAACAGTGTCTACTTTACTTACTATACACTGAGTTTACATACTCAAGTTTGCTATCTGCCCATCCATACACACAGGTAAGTTATTAATCAGCTTTTGCTTAATACCACTTTGAGCATGGTAACTTTAAGCATATTATATATTGTGTTACCTCTCTGTACAAAAACTGATAAAAAATTGTTGTTGGCAACAGAGCCTAGCACCATCCCTGGTACTTTATTGTGCCTACCTTCCATACTGGTTCCTGTCCCACTTACCAGCCAGCGAGGAGACGACAACAATGCTTCCATTGCTCTGCTTCAGCATGGGCAACGCAGCTACACTCAGGGCCACGTAACTGAGGAAGTTGACTTCCATGATTTTGCGCACATGTTGAATATCATTTTGAAAAAACCCCAAGTAAGTTTGGGTGATGTGGTTGAGAATGATCATGTCTAATCCCCCTGTAAGAGATGACCATGTTGAGAAACCATTTGGGGTTGATACCTTCCATCTTCCCCTCCCAGAAGCTTTCTGGAGATCCCTAGGGCAAGGTCCAGAGGAAGAGGGAGAAGAAGCAACCTCACCCATGAGCTTTCCTGCTTTGGCAACAAATTGCTCTGTGAAGGCCAGGTCCTCCATGGTGCCTGCAACGTAGTGTGCTGAGGCTGCTCCCAGCTCCAGACAGCGGGATACCACCTGTAGGGACACAGCAGAAATCATGTAAGTCTTGGCTGCAGACTTTTGGAGGGTAGTCTCCAAACTAATGGGGGCTTAAATGAGAGGTTACTCACCATCCTGTTTAGATAAGAAGTGTAGGGTATATAGTATATGTTTGTGTGTGTGTTGCTAAATATTACACTCATAACCATCATCCTCCTTCTGAAATGTTTTCTAGAACATGGTGGGGTTTAACTGGATGAATCATCTTGCTGGGGTTTTAGTCCATGAGTTATGCTTCATGGGTTTCTGTGAATAGAGGTTTTTGAATACATTATGGGTATGGATGCTGGTTTCAGTGTGGGTTGCTTTAGGCTTGTGAGTGTTTGTACATCCTTGGGTTTGTGAGTCTGAGCATGCATGAGTCTGAGAGTGCATGGGTATGAGATACACATTCATGAACAAGTACTGGAATTTCAGTATCTGAATAAATCTCTGTTTGTGTTTATAAGTGAATGCTTAAGTGCATACTTTTACATTCTGTGGATGTTTGAACCTGTATATGAGAGCCAAAAATTGAGTGCATGTGTGTTTGCATGCATCTATGTATGGACATGCTAGCTTCTGTGTATATATGTGAGTATATATAAGAACACATCTGGGCATGTGAGGGCACACATATCTGTGGGCACAGAACCTCACCTGCTGTAGAGATTCTTTTGTCCTCGCTGTCACCACCAAATGAGCTCCCATCTTCGCCAGATGATAAGCTATCTCTCTT